AAATTCAAGAAGAAGAAAGACTTCCAAACTCGTTTTATGAGGCCAGCATAACTCTAATTCCAAATCGGAAAAAGACACTACAAAGAAAGAAAACTGCAGGCCAATATTCCTGCTGAACATAGATGCCAAAATCCTGAACAAAATACTAGCAAATTGAATCCAGCAATACATCAAAATAATTATTCACCATGACCAAGTGGGATTCATCCCAGGGATGCAAGGCTGGTACAATATTCAAAAATAAATAAATGTGATACACCACATAAACAAAATGAAAGATAAAAACCATATGATCATATCAACAGACGCTGAGAAAGCATTCGACAAAATCCAGCACCCATTTCTGATAAAAATGCTCAGCAATTTGGGAATAGAGGGATCATATCTCAACATAATAAAGGCCATATGTGAAAGACCTACAGCCAACATCATAGTCAATGGACTAAAACTAAAAGCATTTCCCTAAAGAACAGGAACAAGACAAGGATGCCCACTTTTGCCACTCTTATTTAACATAGTACTGGAAGTCTTAGCCACAGCAATCAGACTTGAAGAAAATAAAAGGGATCCAAATTAGAAAGGAGGAAGTGAAACTGTCATTATTCACAGATGACATGATATTATACATAGAAAACCCTAAAGACTCCATCAAAAATCTACTAGACTTAATAAATGAATTTGGCAAAGTAGCAGGATACAAAATTAACGTCAAGAAATTAACAGCATTCTTATACACCAATGATGAACTCACAGAAAGAGAAACTGAAAAAATCCCATTTACCATCACAGGAAAAAAATTAAGATACCTAGGAATAAACTTAACCAAACAAGTAAAGGACCTATTTGCAGAAAACTACAAGACATTGGAAAAAGAAATAGAGGAAGATATAAAAAAGTAGAAGCACATACCTTGTTCATGGATTGGAAGAATTAATATCATTAAAATGTCCAAACTACCCAAAGCAATCTATAGAGTCAATGCAATCCCCATCAAAATACCAATTACATATTTCACAGAACTAGAACAAATACTTCAAAAGTTCATACGGAATCAAAAAAGACCCCGAACAGCCACAACAATCTTGAAAAAGAAGGACAAAGTAGGCTGGATTACAATACCGAATATCAGGTTATACTACAAAGCTACTGTAATCAAAACAGCCTGGTACCGGCACAAGAATAGGCACATAGATCAATGGAATAGAACAGAGAACCCAGAAATTGACCCAAAATATTATGCTCAATTAATATTCAACCAAGGTGGCAAGAGCATACAATAGTGTAAAGACAGCCTCTTTAATAAATAGTGCTGGGAAAATTGGTCAGCTACATGCAAAATAATTAAACTAGACCATTAACTTACATCATACACAAGAATAAACTCAAAATGGATAAAAGTCTTAAATGTGACTCGTGAATCCATAAAAATCCTAGAAGAAAATGTAGGCAATAAAATTTCAGACATACGCAGAAGAATTTTCACTGATACATCACCTAAGGCAACAGAAACAAAGGAAAAAATGAACACATGGGACTATATCAAACTCAAAAGCTTCTGCACAGCAAAAGAAACAACCATCAAAATGGAAAGGCAACCCACTGTATGGGAAAGCATAATTGCTAATGATACATCAGATAAGGGGTAATTTCCAAAATATATAGAGTGCTCATACAACTCAACAAAAGGAAGACAAAAAAACCAATTTAAAAAATGGGCAGAGAAGCTAAATAGACACCTCTCCAAACAGGACATAGATATGGCCAAGAGACATATGAAGACATGCTCATATGTTGGCGAGGGTGTGGAGAAAAGGGGACTCTAGTACACTGCTGGTGGGAATGCAGACTTCTGCAGCCACTATGGAAAACTATGGTGTTACCTCAAAAAATTAAAAATTGAATTGCCATTTGACCCAGTAATCCCACTTCTAGGAATATACCCTAAGAAGCCTGAAACACAAATCAGGAAGAATATATGTACCCCCATGTTCATAGCAGCACTATTTACAATAGCTAAGATCTGGACACAGCCCAAATGTCCATCAGTAGACGAATGGATAAAAAAGCTGTGGTACATATATACAATGGAGTACTCTGTAGCTGTAATAAAGAAAGATCTTACCCTGGCCAGTTTGGCTCAGCGGTTGGAGAGTTGGCCTGTGGTTCAGAGAGACCGGGGTTCGGTTCCCATTGAGGGCATATGCATTGGTTGCAGTTTGTCCCCAGCACTGGTTGGGTAGTGTGGGTGGCAGCCACTCAATGTGTTCCTTTCACGTCAATGTTTCTCTCTCTCTCCCTCCTACTCTATCTGAACAGAAAATGGAAAAATGTCCTCGGGTGAGGATGGAAAAAAAAAAAAGAAAGATCTCTTATCCTTTGAGACGACATGGAAGGACCTGGAAAGTATTATCCTAAGCGAAACAAGCCAAGCAGAGAAAGACAAATATCATTTGATCCCACTTATATGTGGAATATAATGAACATAACAGTCTGAGGAACAGGGTGGTCCCAGAGACGTGGCAGTAGGGTACAGACTGACAATCCCCAGAAGAGGGGGTAGAGGGGGAGAGATAAACCACAGAACTTATAAGCATGTACACATAACCAATGGACATAGACAACAAAGCTGGGGACAGGGTGGGGAGGGAGCGGGAGGAGGGTGTCAATGGGGGAAAAAGGAGAAACATCTGTAACAAAACTAAAAAAAATAAAAATAAAAATAAACATGTTTTAATAAATGTTTATGGTCCAAATACTCTAGCTAAAAATCAGACTGACAGGGTGAATAAAAAAGCAGTACCATATTATATGCTGCTTATAAGATGTATACTTTATTTTGTTAAATATTGTTGCAAGTATTACAGATGTCTCCCCTTTTTTTCCCCATTGTCCCCCTCCACCTGGTTCCTGCCCCACCCCAGGCCTTCACCACCCTATTGTGTGTGTCCACAGGCAATCCATATATGCATCTAAGTTACAAGATGTACACTTGAAACATAAAGACATATATAGATCAGAAGTAAAGGGATGAAAAAATCATACCATGCAATCAGTGAATCCAAGAAAGCTGGAGTGGCTATTTTAATAACAGATAAAACAAACTCAAAACAAAAGTATTGTCAGAGATAAAAAGGGACACTTCATAATGATAAAAGTAACAAATCATCAGGAAGACATAATTGCCCACTGTATGTGTCTATAACAGAGGCTCAAAGTACACAAAGTAAAATTGATAGACCTAAAGGAGAAAACAGACAATTCAACACTCATAGCAGAAAATTTTAAGACCTCTACCTCTCAGCAATTGACAGAAGTACTCACTGACTGGGTGGCTGAGTTGGTTGGGGCATTGTCCCATACACCAAAACATAGCTGGTCAAATGCCAGTCAGGGCACATACCTACTTAGGTTGCAGGTTCGATCCCCAGTGGGAACGAATATGAAAATTTAACAATCTACGTCTAAATAATTCATGGGTCAAAAATGAAATCACAAGGGAAATCTGTAAATATTTTGAAGTTATTAACACAAAACTGAACAAATCAAAATTTATGGGGTGCAACTAAAGCAGTACTTAGAAGAAAACTTAAAGCTCTAAATGCTTATATTAAAAAGAAAAGTGTCATCCCATGGACTGAGAGGTCCTGGTTTGACACCTGGTCAGGGCACATACCCAGGCTATGGGCTTGATCCCCAGTAGGGGGTGTGCAGGAGGCAGCCGATCGATTTATCTCTCTCACATTGATATTTCTCCCTCTGTCTCTAAAATAAATAAATAAATAAAATAATTTTTTAATACAAATTAAAAAAAAACACCCAATGAAACACCTTAATACACCCATTAAATTAGCTAAAATTAAAGATTTACTCTCATAAACTGCTAGCAGTAATGTAAATACCATCATTTTGGAAAACAAACAATGCCTTATAAAGTTCAACACACTCCTGACATATGACTCGACCATCTTAAATGCTAAATACTGCCTTAGTAAATAAATACTATCTTAGATATTTATCAAGCAAAACAAAAATATGTTTCCACACAGAGGCCTGTACATGAATGTTCATAGCAGCTTTATTGTAATATCCCCGATGTGAAAATAACCCAAATATTCATCAAGGTAGATGGCTAAACAAATCCTAGACATGCAAACCACTGTGTAGTGATAGGAAACAGATGTGATGTCTGGAACATGGCAGATATTCAATTAATGTTATCTAAATGAATTAATCCCTTCCAATGAGTACCTAGTTAACAACTGTTTGTATTAATTTGGAAAAGCTTAGCACATTCAATATACAAAATAATACATCATCAGTCTGGAAGCCAAGTTTGAAAATACTAGGATTTCTTACAGTCATTTTTTTTTTAAATCCTTCCCGAAGGATACTTTTCCATATATCTTCAGATGGAGTGGGAAGTTGGGCGGGAGGGAGAGAGAAACAAGGATGTGAGAGAGACACATGGATTGGTTGCCTCCCACACCACCCCAACCAGGGCCAGGGACCCAATCGCAACTGAGGTACCTGCCCTTGACCAGAGTCAAACTTGAGACTTTTTGGTCCAAGGGCCGATGCTCTAATCTCTGAGCCAAACCGGCCTGGGCTTTACAGTCATTTTTATTAGTCTTTCCCATGTTCATCAATGTATCCATGAGTACATATATGCAGGCTATACTGAGTCACAGGTTCCACTTTTATTACCATGTGTACTTTTTTTGTTTTTGCAAGCCAAGTTTTTCTCTAAGTTTAGACCTGCACTGTCCAATCAGGTAGACATTAGCTACAGGTGGCTATTTAAATTTAAGTGGATTTAAATTAAATACAGTTTAAAAATCAGTTCCTCACACTAGCCACATTTCAAGCGCTCAAAAGCAATATGTGGCTAGTAGCTACAGTACTGGACAGTGTAGATACAGAAAATGTTCATCACCACAGATAGTTCTAATGGACAGCGCTGGCAACACAATTATAAATGGACCTCAGAAAACCTCACTTACTTCTTGGTTCCTACGATCCTCGTGCTCCTCTGCTGCTTAAAGGATGTGGGTCCCGGGGTCTAGCAAACGCAAGCACATGAGTGAATGCTAGGGGCCTCTGAACCCTGACCACAAAAAGACAATCCCACCTGTTTCTGTAGTGTGGTGGTGATACGTTCGCCTGACAAAAAGACAATACCCCTGTGCCCAGAAGAAATGAAGCTCTCCCGGGGCAACCACCTCAAACGAAGGAGGCAGGACGTTTTTAGAAGTGTGCCGTCCTATCCTCCTATGGCAGGTGACAATACCAGAGCCTTCATCTTCCCCATTCTTAAAACCCTGTCTGGATAGAGGCTCTAAAGGGAGGGGAAAAGAGAGGACAACGGATATGGGAGGCATTGGATATTTAAAAAAGGAATAGAAACTAATGGCAATCTGGCGACGAACTGAGTCCAAGAAGGTGAGGAAAAGGAAGAGGAAAAGTGGGGGGTGGAGGGGGAACAGGTAGATCTGACCTAGAAGGGTGGGGCCTGCGATGAGCTCTGATAAAACCAACTGTGAGCTTGGGACAAAAGCGAGGACCGCGTGCTGCAGGCTCGACAGCGCTACCTCTGAGGCATAACGGTCAAACCGAGAAACTCACGGCGGGTACTGCACCGAGTCTGGAAGACATCACTCCCTCTCCACGCCTAACAAATTCACCCAAGGGCTCCGGCCAGACCAACGCCACTTCTGCTCTCCTCGCCTCTCCCGGATGTGGAGTCTGCGCAGTCTGGGCCGCCCAACTCGGTTCTGAACGTCTACTTCCGCCTGGCGGCTTCCGAGGGGGCTGCTGCCGCCGAGTGAGTCACGTGACGAGCCACCCTCCGACTCCTCAGAGACCCCGCCCCCGGGTTGTTAGTGGGACCCAGAGGGCTGTGAGTGCGAGAGGAGCTTGAAGCCGGCCTCAGGAACCCCTCCCTCTCCTTCAGTGTCCCTCCACCCTTCATTCTCCTCCCAGGACGACGAGTGGTCTCTCTAGGTGCACAAGGAAATCAATTATTGCCCCTTTATTTATCTTAGAGAAATTGCAGACCCATTCCCGCTGTCCCAGCCCCCAGGTAGAGAGGCATAAGCTCTTTCATTGCTGAGGGTGCGAGAATTGGAGTCAGTGGCTGAGCAGGAAAGAAGCCAGGAAAGGCAAGCTTGGTGAAGACTTGAGGAAATAAATGAATATTGGGGGTGGAAATCTCATCTGCTTGCTTCAGGGTTCCAAACTTGCCCTGCTTTGGTGTGTGCGTGTATGTGTGGTCCCTAGGAGACATTTGGGTAACTCTTGAAATCTTGAAACAAATTATGTATGGGCCTCTCCCTAGAGGAAGTGTGTTTGTCTCCCTCCTTGAGGGGACCGGGAGGTGTTCTCTCAGAGGGACTTCCATGGGTTTTCTTAGATGGGCTGTGTTGGCTCCACTCAGAGTGACGGGGTCTGCTCCTCTCAGAATGACTATGTCCTCTCCTCTTAGCGGGACTGCGGCATCTCCTCTCAGAGAGTCTGTGGCATCTCCTCTCAGAGGGACTACGACATCTCCTCTCAGAGGGACTGTGACGGCTCCTCACAGAGAGACTGCGATGGCTCCTCTGGGATGGACTGCGATGGCTCCTCTGGGATGGACTGCGATGTCTCCTCTGAGAGGGACTGCGATGTCTCCTCTGAGAGGGACTGCGATGTCTCCTCTGGGAGGGACTGCGATGTCTCCTCTGGGAGGGACTGCGATGTCTCCTCTGGGAGGGACTGCGATGTCTCCTCTGAGAGGGACTGCGATGTCTCCTCTGGGATGGACTGCGATGTCTCCTCTGAGAAGGACTGCGATGTCTGCTCTGGGATGGACTGCGATGGCTCCTCTGGGATGGACTGCGATGTCTGCTCTGGGATGGACTGCGATGTCTGCTCTGGGATGGACTGCTATGGCTCCTCTGGGATGGACTGCGATGGCTCCTCTGAGAGAGACTGCGATGGCTCCTCTGAGAAGGACTGCGATGGCTCCTCTGGGATGGACTGCGATGGCTCCTCTGAGAGAGACTGCGATGGCTCCTCTGGGATGGACTGCGATGGCTCCTCTGGGATGGACTGCGATGTCTCCTCTGAGAGAGACTGCGATGGCTCCTCAGGGATGGACTGCGATGTCTCCTCTGAGATGGACTGCTATGGCTCCTTTGAGAAGAACTTTCCCTACGGAAGCTGTGGTGGTTTGGTTTCTTATGTGTGTGTTTCTCTGTAAGGCGACTGTATGAGGTTCTCTCCTTAGGGGTACCATATAGGATTCTCTCTTGGACCTGAACTCTGATTCCTCTTTTGGGGCTCATAGACTCTGGGCTAGAGATTTTTCTGTAGAAGTTTTTCTTAGATCTGCCACTGTCATTTTGAATGGTACCCAAAGGATGTCTGATTGTGGTGGTACTTCTTTTGGGAACTCTGTGCCTGGGCAGTGGGTAAGGTCTGGGTTGGAAAGAGTTATCTGTTTCTGGTTGTTGAGTTGAGCTGGATTGGTCTGTTTCTTCCCACAATGTGCTCCCCTGTTTAGTGGCTGGGTCTGTTGGCTTTAGCTTGACAACTGACATCGGGTCTCTTTTGATATCTCTTGGTAAGCTTTGGTCTCTGGCTTTTTGTTTTGGTTGGTAGTTTTTGCTTGACCACAAATGGTCTGCCTTTGTCCTGTCCTCAGGCTTTGGCCCAGCAACTGCCATAATCCTGTGGGCTCTTTGAAATGCCTTCCTTAGTCCGTGAAAAAGCAGTTCAATGAATTTGGGTTGGGAGGATTTCTTAGGGTGTCTTTTTAAAGAGGCAGTAGTCTGAGATGCTCCATTCCTTTTCCTTTTTAACTGGGCTGGTAATTCCCTAGAGGGACTCAGTATTATGAATCTGCTGTTTGTATGGAATTTTTTGTCTTGTGTTCTGAATCCCTTGGTGATTTTTGTTGGATATTTTGAATCATGGGTATATTTGGTTCTCACTTTAGTCCATTTTTCATCCTGACTGCTTTCAGAGTTACTCTCTGATAAAGAGTGCACTTCAGTGAATTCACAGTGCCCAGGTTCTCCAATATCTGTCTTTCCTAGTAGGTCAGGGCTGCCACATTGCTTTTGCCTAATGTGGACTTGTACAGAAGCAGGAGACTGGGAAGACTGAAACGGGAAATCTGTTGTAGAAGTAGGACTCTTGGAAGCTGGAGTACAGATTTTAGCTTTCCTTCGTGATGATGATATAGAGCTCCTTGGTGTGATGGATCTTTCTCTTCTATAATACTTTGAAACTTGGGATCTTTTTCTAATTCGTAACCTAAAGCCAAGGTGCAATCTAATCTCTCCATGGCCTTCAGGAGTGCTTACAAGGCGGAGCTGTGGGTAGATAAGAAGATAAGGCCCAAAAGTGGCCTGTAATTTATGACAACAATGAAATCCTGAACATCGGCCACACTGTAGGCAGATAGGGTATTTTAGGACCAGACCTGAAGCTAGCGGTGGAGGTACATTGTCGGGTATTTGACTCTTTAACAGTTTTGCTGCTATTTTTAGCTGCAGATCTTGTAGCAACTGCAGCTGTTCTGGGAGGTCTGCCTTGGCCTGGGAAAGATAACTTGGCTTGAGGGGGTGCTGGGATTCAAAAATCCTTTTCTGTGATTCACTCTGTGAGTTCTCACTCTCTTCCAGTGGAACAGGATCTTTCAGAGTGAAAAATATATTGAAAGAAGACTCTGACTCTGCTGGGTCAGGAAGCTGCCCCCCTGTATATGAAACAGGCATGTGTTTAAGGACTTCCTGGGATATACCAATGAGCTTTGAGTTTGTTTTCTTTATTCTCACTCTAGCTCCAGAATATTGCTGTACTATGGAGGACATAGAACCACGCGTCCATATCCTTAAGGCCATTCTATTCTCATGACCATGGCATGAAGTATGTCTCTGAATGTAGTTTTTGACCACTGAAGCTTTAGAAATAGTACCTCGATCTACCTCTAGCAAACTCTGGGAAAATTTCATCAATTCAGCAGGAACCCCAAATAAATTCTGAATAAATTGACGGGTATCAGCAGTGGCTCTTTCTGTTAAAGATGTTTGAGAACAAAGCTTCCTTTCCATAGTGGTCCCCAAGACATTCCCCAGCATTAGCATATTGGAAAGATATTTTCTAGGTAGTCTCTGCTTCCAGGAGTGACTCTCCCAGACATTCTGTTGTCTTCCCAGGACAGACCAGGTAAGGCCTCTTCGAGCCCCTGATCCTGCCTGAAAGGCCTTTGATGCTGATATCCACCTTTGTTGTGGATGCTGGAAGAGGCCCTGGAGTGAATTCTCTAACTTGGCCACCTGCCTCCTCTGAATCTTCTCTTTAGATATGACATCCACTCCTGGGATCCCGGAATGGGGTGTTTCTGTAGTGTTAGCTGTCTTATCAGAGGGTTGATTATGAAGAAGGTGCAAGGGAAAGGTTGAAGCAGGGTCTATGGAGGACTCTTTAGGATGAAAAATATCTGTCCAGAGGTTTTTTATATCCAAGGTTCTAGATTCTTCTGTCATCTCAGAATCCCAAAGACCTAATTCAGATGTTGTTTTGACAGGGCTTGATATACCTGAGTTTGAAGAGTTATGCAGAAACCTAGAGAAATAATTCCCTATTTGTAACTCTTCTCCTGATGTTGACTGCTCAGATTTCCTCATCTGATATACCTGTCTTAGATTCAAATCCTCAGATTCCATAACTTGAAGAGGCCTTGTTTTTATTCCTATAGATTTCACAGCCTGAAGCCCTTGTTCATGAGTCAACACTGCAGGATCCTCAAATGGAGATGTTGGCTGTGAGGTTAATTCTGCAGATTTCACTTCAGTGTTTGACCCTGGTTTTAACTCCACAGATTTCACTTTTTGAGAACATGACTCTAGTGTCAACACCTCACATTTTAAGTCCTGCAGCTCAGAGCCTGAAATCAATTTCACAGAATTTGCACCACAAAGCAACGGCTCTTTGTTCATCTTCACAGACTTTACATCTTCAAGCAGTGGCTCTGGTACAAATAACTCAGATTTTGCACCATTTAATGGAGGATCTAAAACAGAGTACCCAGCTTGCTGCTGTGACCCAAGATGGTTCTCCAAAACGTGGACTTCTGGAAACTTAGTTCCTGGAGTTAACTGAAATTTTACACCTTGCAGATGTAGTCCAGAATTAAATAAAATAGACTTTGTACTTTGAGATTCTGACCCAGGGTTCAATTCAGAAGGCTTCATGCCTTGTGTCCTTATAGAGTTTATACATTGAAGTTCTGACCCTGAATTCAATTCAGAAGAATTCACACCTTGCAGCTTTGGGCCAGAGTTGGACTCCGTTGTCATTATACCTTGAAAATTTGTCCCTGAAGTCAACTCAGAAGATTTTACACCTTGCAAGAGTGGCCCAGAGTCACATCCAGTAGAATTTACACATTGTAATTTTGGCCCTGGATTCAACTCACAAGAATTTTTGCACTGCATCTGTGGCCCAGGGTTGTATTCCATAGGTGCTACACCTAGAAAATTTGACTCTGGAATCAATTTAGATTTCAAACCTTGCCAGTGTGGTCCAGAGTTGAACACCTTAGATGTCTCACTTTGAATCTCTGTCCCTTGATTCAATTCAGAAGACTTCATACCTTGAAGTTTTGAAACTGAAGTTAATTCAGAGGAGTTTACGCCTTGCGAATGTGGCCCAGGATTGCATCCAGTAGAATTCACACACTGAAGTTTTGGGTCTGAAATGAATGAGGAAGAATTTATACCTTGCAAATGTGGCCCAAGGTAGAATACTTTAGATTCTGTACCTTGAGGATCTGGTCCAGGATTCAACTCATAAGATTTTAGACCTTGCAACACTGGTGCAGTGTTAAATGCCATAAAATTTATACATTGAAATTGTGGCCCTGGATTCAGTTCAGAGAATTGCCCACCTTGCAATTTAGGTTCATGCTTGAATTCCAGAAATGGTTCATCTGGAAGTTTCATCTTGGTGCTCAGCTCAGATCTTACCTCTTTTAATGGTGCCCCAGCATTGAACTCTACAGATTGCATACCTTGAAACTTTGTTCCCAGGCACAATTTAGAAAATGTTACATCTTGCAACTGTTGCTCAGGATTGAATTCAATAGATTTCACATCTTGAAGCTTTGTCCTTTTACATAATTCTGGAGATTTTACATTTTGCAAATGTAGCCTAGGATTGGACACCACACGTTTGACACTTTGAAGCTCTGGCCATGGATTTAACTTACAAGATTTCTCATCTTGCCACTGCTTACCAGCATTGAACTCAGAAGATATCACACTGTGAACCTTTGATTCCAAGGCCAACTCAGAGGGTTTTGCAGCCTGAAATTTTGGGCCATCATTGACCTCCGTAGAGTTCATCACTTGAAAGTTTATTGACTCAGAAGATTCTGCACCTTGCAACTTTGCCCCAGATTTGAATTCCATAGATTTCATACCTTGTGTCAACATAGACACTTTCCTATTGTGTGGGGCTGAGTTGAACCCCAAAGATTTAACATCTTGTACTTTTGTACCTAGAGTCAATTCAGAAGATTTCATATCTTGCCACGTTGGTCTGGTGATGAATCCCACAGATTCTTCACTTTGAAGCTTTGTCTCTGGTGTTAACTCAGATGTCACAACTTGTAACTGTGGAACAAGTTTTAACTCAACAGATTTCAAATCTTGACGCCTCCTCTCTAGTGTCAAATTAGATTTCTCACCTTGACTCTGTGGTCCATGGTTGGACTTCACAGATTTCACACCTTGAAGCTTCCTCCTCTGGGTTAAATCAGAAGATTTTTCACCCTGTAACTTTGGACTATAGTTGAAGTTCACATCTCGAAGCTTTATCCCTGGGATCACTTCAGAAGATTTCATACCTTGAAAGTGTGGTCTAGAATTGAGCCCCATAGATTTTACATCTTGAAGCTTTATACCCATGATCAAGTCAGAACATTTTATGTCTAGTAACTGTGAATCTGAGTCCAACTCAAATGTTGTACCTGGAAACATCTTCCCTTGAGTCAAATCAGATTTCTCACCTTTTAACTTTGGACTAGGTTTGAATTCTACAGATTTCATATCTTGAAGCTTTTCCCTTGGGGTTACTTCAGATTTCATACCCTGCAAGTGTGTTCCAGACCTGAAATTCTTAGATTTTACATCTTGAAGCTTTATATCCATGATTAACCTAGAATAATTTATATCTTGCAACTGCGAGCCTGACTTGAATTCTGATTTCTCTTTTTCAAGCTTTGTCCCCAGTTTCAGCTCAGAAGATTTCACAACTTGTAACTGGGGGCCAGGGCTGAATTTTTTATGTTTTACATCTTGAAGCTTTGCCTTTGAGGTTGCTTCAGAAGATTTCATACCTTGTAACAATGACCCAGGTCTGAAATCTATAGATTTGACACCTTGAATCTTTGTCCCTACAGTTGATTTAGAAGAAGTTGTACCTTGCAACTGTGAACTGGGATTTAATTCAGCAAGTTTCATATCTTGGGACTTTATCTCAGGTGGCAACTTAGAAGATTTTAGACTTTGCCACTGTGACTCAGAGTTGAAATCCTCAGATTTCACACCTTGAAGCTTTGTTTGAAGAGCCAATTCAGGTGACTTCACACTTTTCAAGTGCAGTGGGGAGCTCAATTCTATAGTTTTATCACTTTGTAATTGTGACCCTTGGCTTAATATGCCAGATTTGACCTCTGGAAGCTGTGGTTCTTGCATAAGCACTAGAGACTTTACACCTTGAAGCTGTGTTCCTGGGGATGACTGTAAGGGTTTCACTTCTTGAAGCTGTAGTCCTGGGGTCAATTTAGGAGATTTCCCATCATGCAAGTGAAGCCTGGATTTGAACATCATAGATTTTATATCACAGGGCTTTGACCTCAAGGTCAGGTCATGTGATTCCATACTTCTAAACTGTAAACAAGGTTTCAAATCAGAACCTTGAGGCTGATGTTCCTGGTGTGATGCCAATGATGGTATACCTTGAAGCTCTGGTTTTTCAGTCAGCCTAGATGATTTTGTACCTCTTAACTGTATCAAAGGTTTCAACTCTGCTGGTTTGACACATTGAGATTGAAACCCAAGATTTGGCAGAGATTTCATACATTGAAACTCTATTGTAGGCATCCACTGAACAGATTTTATAGTTCCAAGCTGTGGCTCTTGGTTTAACCCTACACTTTTCATACCTTGATGCTGTGGCTCTGATGTTGATGTCAGAAATTTCCCTTTTTGCAGTTGTGGTCCTGGGGGCAACTCAGGGGTTTTCACGCTCTGCAACTGTGGCCCACTGTTGAATTCCATATATGTTGCACCTGGAGTTTTTGGCTCTAGAGTCAATTCTAGTGACTTCACATCTCTTGATTGTATCAAAGATTTCAACTCTGCAGATTTGACATCTTGTGATTGTAACCCAAGATTTAACCCTAAAGATTCTACACTTTGGAACTCAGGTTCTTGTATCCACTGAATATATTTCATACTTTCAAGTTGTGGCTCTTGTTTTAAATCAATAGTTTTTACTCCTTGAAGCTGTGGTTCTGAAGTTGACACCAAGGGTTTCACTTGGTGCAGCTGTGGCCTTGGGGTCAACTTGGGAAATTTTATGTTTTGCAACTGTGGTTCAAGTTCAAACTCTTTAGATTTTACACCTTGAATATTTGATTCAGGAGCCAATTCAAATGATTTTGTATCTTTCAACTCTAACTCAGAGTTGAGTTCTACTAATTTTCCATCTTTAAAGTTTAGCTCTGGAATTAACTCCAAAGACTTCCCATCTTCTGACTTAGACCCTCTCTTCACACATTGCTCTGAATTCACACATTGCTTCTCTGGTGAGGTTACAAATATCTCACCATCCTGTTCTGGCTCAGGAGTTAAATTCACAAGTGTCATTCCTTGAAACTGTTGCCTTGGTGCTGAATCCACAGATTTTACTCCCTGAAACTTCTGTATTCTGGTTACATTAACAGGTTTTACTACCTGCTTCTTTAGCCTTGGGGTCAACTTCACAGATTTTTCCCACTGCAGTGGATCTGGAGTCTCCTCTAATGATTTTGAACTTTGAAGTTTTAAACATGGGGTAATTCCCACAAATTTCATGTCTTGCATTTGTGGTTCTGAAGTCAATTCCTCAGGTTTCTTACCTTGCAATTGAGGCCCTTGGAGCAGTGGCCCTGGTGCAAAAGGCACAGAATTCTCACCTTCCATCTTTGGCCCACGTTTTAATTTCACAGTTTTTATATCTTGCCGTTGCATTCTTGGGACCAACTCCACAGTTTTAAATTCTTGACTTCTTGAATGTAAAGTCAACTGAACAGATTTCACACCTTGAAGCTTGGAATCTGGGGTGATTTTTACAGTTTTGACATCTATTTGTGGTCCTAAGCTTAACTCCACAGATTTCTTACCTTCCAGGTGTGGACTTGGGCATCTTAAGCATTGTCCTGGAGTTAAGGCCACAGATTTCACATCTTCCAGCTCTAATTCTGAGATCAACAACTCAGACTTTAAACCTTGAAGTTTTGAGCTTGGGGTCAGCTCCACTTGTTGCACATCTCCCATCTGTGGCCCAGGGGTAAACATTATAGATTTGGCATCTCCCAATTTTGGCTTTGGTGTTAACTGCATAGATTTCATACCTCCCAAATGCGACAGTGGAGTTAAATCCACAGATTCCATATCTTCTTGCTGTGGCTCTGGGATTAGTACCTCAGATTTTAAATCTTGAGACTTTGAGATTAGAGTCCACTCCATAGGATTTACATCTTGCATCTGTGGTCCTTGGATCAATTCAGAAGATTTCATACCTTGTAACTGTGGACTTCTGATCAACTTAGAAAAGTTTACACTTGGCAACTGTTGCCCAGGAGTTAATTCCATAGATTTTGCATCTGCTATCTGTGGCTCTGAGACTAATTTATGAGAAATGTCACTATCAAAGTTTGACATTTGACCTACTTCTACACATTTTACACCTTGAAACAGTGGCTCTGGTACTAACATCTCAGGCTTAACCCCTTGCTGTTCAGGTCCTGGGGTCAACTCCATAGAGCTTACTCCTTGCTTCTTTGGCTCTGGAGTCAACTCAGAAAATTTTACACATCGTAGTTGTGGCCCTGATTTTAACTCTGAAGGTTTCACACCTTCAGGTTGAGTTCCTGATGTCAGATCACTAAATTTGTTATCTTGTAGCCATGGCCCTTGGTTATGCCCCACCTGTTTCATAACTTGAAGCCCTGGATACATCTTTGCTAATTTGGAATCTTGAAGCCCTAACTCTGAAGTCATCTCCACAGAATTCTTGCCATGAAACAATGATCCTGGGGTTTGCTCCCCACATTTGACACCTTGATGCTTTGGCCCTGCCGTCAATGAAGAAAACTCAACATCTTGCTGCCTTTGCCCTAGTTTCCATTCCTCAGATTTTACATCTTGAAATTGTATTTCTGAGGTCAGTGTCACAGATTTCATGCTGGGAATTTGTGATCCTTCAACAGACAAAATAGATTTCATATTTTCAGCTGGGAGCCCTTGGCTTAACTGCAAAGATGACTCTGCTACAAACTCTGCAGACTTTATATCTTGAATCCGTGTTCCTGGTATAAACTGCACATCTTTGAAATCTTGAAGCTTTGGTTCTGGGGTCAAATCAGAAAATCTAACATTTTTTAAGCATAGTCCTGAATTTAGTTCCACAGATTTTATACCTTGAGGTTGTGGTTCATTAGTTGACTGTACAGATCTATCACTTTGATGCTTTGGCTGTAGGAAAAAATCAAACAATTTGATTTCTTGCATTGGGGAAGCTGGGAACAATTCATCAGATTTCACACCCTGGTGCAGGGGTCCTGATATTAAATCTATAGATTTTCCTCCTTGAAGAAGTGGCCCTGGAGATAACTTTGAAAATCTGACACTTTGCAACTGTGGCCCTATAGTCAAGTGGTCTGATATACTTTGCAGCACTGGCGCTTGTGTCAGCTTCTCTGATTCTACAGCTCTGGGTGTAGTTGACTGTTGAATTAAATTAACATATTTCACATCCTGTAATTGTGGGTCTGGATTCAACTGCCTAGAATTTGCTTCCTTGGGCTGTGACTCTGGAGTCAACGCCATAACATATGGTTTTGGTCTTGTAATAAACTTTTTAGATCCTACCACTAATGGGGCTGACTCTGGTTTTATACTTTGAGGCTGTGGTTCTGAGATCAATGGAACAGATTTCACACTTTGAAATTGTGGTTCTGAGATCAAATCTTCATACTTCATAACTTCTGAATATGGTCCTAGATTAAGATTAGATTTAGTATCTTGGGAGTCTGGGATCAACATCTCTGATTTCATACCTTGTACCTCTGATCCTGGTACCAACTTCAGAGATTCTTGTATTGTGTATTGTGACACAGGGGTCTCCCCTATGGCTTTTATACTTTGGAGCTTTGTCTCAAGGGTACCTTGGAATGACATTGAGTTCATCTGCCTAGATTCTGAAGCATGGCTCAATGGCCCTGGGTTATTTTCTAAAGATGATTGTATCAACCCCACAGAGTCTTTCTCATGGTGACAAGTGTCAGAGATTAACTTTGCTTCTGTTTCTTGATATCCTGGCTCTGAAATCATCCTTAAAGATTCTGAAGCTTGATGCCATGGGGTCAATCCTTCAGGTTCTGTGGCTTGATAATTTGATTTAGGGATCAACTGTACAGATTTTACTGCCGGAATGTGTATTCCTGGTATCAGCTCCTCATATTTCATACCTTCTACTGGTGTCTCAGGAATCAACCCCCTACATTCTACCATTCGAGGAGTTTCCACATCTTTAAGCAATAGTACTTGGGCTATCTCCTCAGATCTTATATCTTGTAACCATGGCCTTGGGGCCAACTCCGCAAATTTCATATCCTCCTGGTCTGGTCTTGGGGTCAACTCCACAGTTTTTAAATCTGGCAACTCTGGTGGAAGGGTCAAATGAACATAGTCTATACCTTGCAACTGTGAATTGGAGGTCAAATCTATAGATTTCCTACTTTGCCACTGTTGTTCTGGGGCTAACTCAGCAGATTTTTCACTTTGCTGTTGTGGTCCAAGGGTCAATTGGATAGTTTTCTCACCTTGAAGCTGAGATCCTGGGTATGACTGCACAGATTTCCCATTTTGTAGCTGTGGTATGGAGGTCAACTTATCAGATTTTACACTCTGCTGTTGAAGTTCTATGGCCAATTCTAAAGAGTTCACAGTTGGGATCAGCTGTTCATATTTTACTATTTGTGGGATAGAACTGGTGGTTATATCTACAGGTTTTATACTTTCCAACCCTGGTCTCATGGTCTGTTTCTCAGATTTTACATTTGGCAACCCTAGGGGTAACTTAATCGAATCCATAATTTTAAGTTGTGACATTGGCTTTGCCCCCATATTTTTCATGCCTTGAAGCAGTGATGTACTAGTCATTGTTTCAGATTCTGTAACTTGATGCAGTGGTTTTGGGCTCATTCCCATAGATTCTGTACCTTGACCCAGTGGCTTTGGGGTTGTCCTTAAAGATTCCATTATTTGATTATGGGACTGTGTCAACTCTACAGATTTCTTCATTTGTAGCCATATGTCAGAGGTCAGTTCCATAGTTTCTATAACTTGATGGCTTTGCCTTGGGCTCATCTCAGAATATTCCAGAATTTGATGCCATGGGGTCAACCTTGAAGATTCCATGTTTTGAGGTGGCACTGGGGTTAATGTCATAGATTCTCTGCCTTGTTGATATGGTTGTGGAGTCATCCTCACAGAGTCTAGCACGTGAATACATGGCCCAGGAGTCAACTCCAGAGATTCTCTGACTTGAAATATTGGCCTTGGGGTCAAATCCTGAGCTTCTACAACTTGTGACTGTGGTTCTATGGTCATTCCCATGAATGACCCTAATGCTATTGGGGTTGTCTTTAGAAAATGTATGGATTGATGCAATGGCATCCCTGATTCCATGACTTTAGGTGGTAGCTTTGGAGGTACACTCACAGATTCTCTAATTCCAGGTGGATCAATAGTAGTAGGAGAACTAGAAGAAGTCAAATCATCTGGTTGAGTTGCCTTTGGGGTCAAATTAGAAATATAAGTCTTTGAATCTAGGGTATCACCTGGCTGTGCTGGTGGAATTATTCCCATGCAATCCATAGCTTGTAATAGTGCCACTGGAGTTACTTTTATGATATCCATGACTTGATGCAATGGCCTGGGTGTCATGTTCAATGATTTTGTGTTTTGACATATTGGCCCAGGAATAATTTTCAATGGTTCTATGACTTGACTTTGTGGCTTTGAAGTTATGCCTACTGACTCAATGACTTTATGTTGTCTCTCTGGGGTCATTTCCACAGTTTCCATGACTGTATGCTGTGGCCTTGGACTCATCTTTCCTGGTTGTATGATCTGATGGTTCAAAAATGTGTTAATTTTAACTGACTCTTTGACTTGATATTGTGGCCTTGGGGTCATTCCCACTGATTCTATGATATGTGGGTGTGATTTTTTAGTTACCCCCATGGAATCCATGACTTGAAGCAATGCTTCAGGAGTTACCTTCATATTATCTGTGACTTGATTCAGTGGTCTTGAGGTCATCTTTTTTGATTCTATAACTTGATGCTGAGGACTTGGGGTTACCTCCACTGATTCAATAATGTGATATGCTGAGTTTGAGCTTACACTCACTGTTTCCATTGGTTTTACAACTTCATTTGGCCGTGGAAACAAACCCACAGATTCTGTCAATTCTGATTGTGGTTCTGGAATCATCCCCATTGAATCCATGACTTGAAGCAATGCCAGTGGTGTTACCTTTATTCTATCTGTGACTTGATATGATAGCCTTGGAGTCAATTCCACATTAGTCACTTGGGTCTCATGCTGCTCTATGCTTTTTTCTGGAAGACCTCTTACCCTCTGCTCTATACTAAGTTCTAGCATATATTTTGAGTCCTTCTGCAGGAAAGTGGTTTCCTTTTGAATTATGTCAACTTTTAAACTTTTGGGAAGTGGAGTTCCCATTGATGTAACTAATGGGTTGGATCCAAGGATTTGGGGGCCACCCCCAGGTTGTGACTGCTTACCTGGGATAAGTGATTGTGAAATTTTTGTTTCTGTTCTATTTAATCCAGATTCCACTCCAGTGTTCACATGGCGCTGAAATGATGGAAGGTCTGGGGATTTATTGTTGATATTTTGCTCAATGCTTTGATGAATGGGCATAGATAAATGGATTTGGGGTTTCTCTGGTTCAGGGATGCCTCCATGTAACTCAATTAAATAATTCAGCATCGTCCATGATTCTCTCACAGGCAGAGGCACTGTTTGTTTCTTCAAAGTACAAACCTTCCAAGCCATATGTCCCTCTAACTCCCACCTAGCCAAAGGAGACAGCTGGATTGGAGTCCATCCTGGGACTTGTGGTCTCTTCTTGAAAACAGAATTTGGCTGATGATCTGATCTTAGATGATTATTGCTCCTTCTCTCATATTTTGTTTTTACTTGTTTGAAGAAACCCAGGGATTCAAAAATAGAATTCATTAAAGAGCTTTGAGGTCTTAAAGGTGAAAGAGCTGCCAAGTTCTGAAGGAGTTTTGATTTCCCAAGGTCTGAGAGCTGAAAAGGAGGCAGGGATGTGCTTTGGTTCTTGAACACAGGTGGTTGCTTTTTAGATAAAATAGGTAAACTGTGGCTTCGGAATTGCCAGGTTGTTCCTTCAGAAAAGTGAGACAAACTGGAGCTGCATGATGACCCAGAAGAGGTGCTGTGGTTAGTAGGATATTTTGCCATCTTACAGTCACAAAATGGTAGAATAGGCTCCTGCGCCACAAGAACAGGGGAGGTGGAGGAAGAAATCATATCCTGTGGTTCAGGCAAACATGATTCCATAAGAGCTGATCTAGGGTATAAAGAGAAAAGTTTCATTTTGGTTTGAAACAGGAAAAGGTGAAAAAGGAAAAAATAATAATCATTTAAAATGCAAAATATTTTGGACTGAGGAAGAAGAAGAACAACAACAAAAGGTTGCTTTCTCCAACATCATTTACTTATGGAAAGAATTCCTCCACCAAGACCAAGGCCATTCATTTCTATCAGAAATGATCAATAGACCAATGGTTCTTAAATTTCCTTTAAACCCAGAACTTTCCCCCATTGTCAAAACTAACTAACTAACTAACTAACTAACTAACTAACTAACTAACTAACTAACTCTCTTTTCCTTCTCCCTCCCTCCTTCCTCATCTCCCTTCCTCCCTCCCTCTTAAAAACTCTACCACCTTCAATTCTCACTCAGAAACTATATTCCCTGACCTTGCACTTTCCAGATGTTGGAAGATTCGTTGAAGACAGAGTATACATTCCTGGGTCCATCCCTCAGGGAGGCCTGAAAAGCTGGATGAAAAAGAGTATGTCAGTGTAATGGAAGTGATATTAAAAGTACTGGTAAGGAAACCAATAAGAAGAGGGATTTAACTTAGAAAGTAAACAGCTATGATAGTGTGGAAAGTAAAACAGAGTCCCAGGTATCTTACTTTTAACTTTCTACAGTTTATCAGTAGGATAGGCTGAAGAGAGAAAACTTAGACACAGTAAAGATCAGTTTTACTCACCATGTCAGGTTAGTTTTAATATAACCCATCCTGAGATTTTCTTCCCACTGTTGAACTAGGAGTAGAGGTAAAGAATCTATTAATATTTTGACTATTGACATCACCTAGTCCAAACTCCTTACTTTGCAAATAAGGAAACAAAGATGAAGTCATGCCCAAGATTATAAAGCTAATTAGTGGTAGAGCTCAGGTTTAGCCTAGGTCTCAAGTTTGTTTCTTTAACTATACTGCCCTCGCCATGTAGAATAGATGTAAGCCATTGGAAAGAGGAGGAATAATCATGGTAGTAGGGAGTTGGACTCGGGGAAACAGATATAACACATATCTTTCCCTCCAAAAGAGTTTATCTGTGGTAGGGAAAAAGGTATTGAAACTTTCTACACCAAACTCTTGGTAGTTACCCCTTCTCCATTCTTCAATCTCACCAAGTTTCTTTCCTGATACTTTGAGCATTACACAAAATGAAATGAGGAAAGGAAGCATGGAAAGAATTATGGAGCCATTTACATCTCTTTGAAAGTGGAGATGCTAGAAAAAATAAGCACATTTCTTTCATTAACATAATCTTTTTCAACCTCCTGCCCTCCATCAGTTGTTAAAAGCTAGAGTTTTAAAAAATACCCACAGTTGATCTGTCATTAGCCTTGAGCTAAAGAATAAAGCATAGCATTTTTCTCACCTGTGATTTTCTGGATCATTTTCAATCTATGCTGCTTTGAAGTCTAGAGAGGCACAAAAAGAAAAAGAAAAAAAATCAGGTAGTGTTTTAGGTTAGAGAATTTATTGACAGTGCATTTCATCTTATAGGCATAAATATTGAGATAATTGCCATCCACAGCCACAGCAACAATTACCACCTCATTCATTGATTGATGAATCATTTATTGAGTACTTACTAAGTTCTTGGTATTGTGTGGAGTGCCAGGACTACAAAGATAAATATGATTCCTGTATTCTAGGAACTTAGAAAACAGATCTCTAAACAGATATATTACAATATTATCTGGTAAATGCTGTAACAGAAATATAAGTGCTAGGGGATACAGAGGACAGTCATTAACTGCTTGGGAGAGAAGGGAAGAATTGCTCAAGAAGTTGCCATTTATATTGGAGTTTGGAGAGTCAGCAAAAGGTTTTTTAGGTAAAGAAAGAGCATTTCAAAAAAAAATAAAAAATAAATTTGTTTTAAAAAAGAGCATTTCAGGCAAGTGGGAACAACACCGAGATTAGAAGGTCATGACTGTCAAGTGTGCTTTTGCTAAGTAGTGAGAGATGAAGCTGAAAAGGTAGGTAGAAGCCAGATTAAGCCAACTGTAGCATTTTAATGTTGTCCTGTAGGTCAGAATTTTCCAACTACTAGTTAGCAAGCTCTTGGGTTTTTTCAAGGGTGTTCCAGTTCATTTTAAAGGCAAAAATGACATTTGTTACAATTTCTAAAACAATTTTTTATTTCTTCCCTTTAAACTAGAACATTAGACTCTGAGAAGATATTAAAAGAGCCTCTACAACAATTACTGAGGAACTCATGAATGTCCACATTATTCAGTCACTCAATTTATTACTCAGTTGAATACCCCTAGCACCGTGGTAGTTTTAACTTTTAAACAGTTTTAGATTGATTTTATACTTGTCATATATTATTTATGTCTATAATAGACCATTGATTAAAAACATCCAGCACTAGAAAAGCTGATGTTAAAATACAGGTTAATATATTTACAAATTATCTTTCTATATATTTATCTCAAAATGACCTCTGCATATCACAGACCTAAATAATCCCCCACTACAAAAACACTTAGACATAGTTTGGTGAAGGCCAAGGGAGGGGAAGCCAGGGTGGGTGGAGGTGGGTAAAGGTGGGGGAGGGAAACACCTGTAATAATGTCAACATTAAAATTTTTTAATTTAAAAGAAACACTTGGAAACGCTGAATAAAATATAACAAATATCCTTTGAAATGTAGAGTTCAGTTCTTTACAAGAGAATAAGGGAAATATCTAGGCCAAAAATAGAAAACTAAAAAATGAGTGGAAAGTCAGCTGATACTTCAATGTCCTAGCTCATTTGCAGTGTCAGTCACTAAAGGATAGGGACAAAGAGAAGATCCATGTGAAGTGGGTATTTGGAATTTAGATTCTAGAAAAAAAGAGCCAGATTTTCAAATTTCTATACACTCCATAAAAAGGTAGCTAGAAAAAAATCTGCCCACCAGCCACTGAAGCTTGAGCTGGGGGGGGGGGGGGGGAACCACAGCCTTCTCCAAGAATTTTAACCAGAGTCTATCCTCATAATGGTTTGAAATACTAATTTATATCCACTGTGTAGTCCAGAACCCTCAAAAAGAAAATAAAAGTGTCCTAGGGTGGTATGCCCTTAGGGCAAAAGGCAAAAGAAAATATAAAATCTCTTTGGAAATTGGAGTAGAAGAGAAAGGAGAAGGAAACAGTTTGAATAACTATATATTAATAAATGAGAAATACCTGATGAAATGGTTAAATTCTTAGAAAAAAAATAAACTAACAAAAGTAGGCAAAAAGAAATACACCATTTGAATAGACCAATAAGTATGAAAGCAATCAAAATGATAAAGACATTCTCCATCAGACCTAACAAAATAATTCAAGGTTTCTAAATACCAGAACTTATAAATATCAATAGCAGCCCTGGCCGGTTTGGCTCAGCAGTTGGAGCATCGGCTCGCAGTCTGGAGAGACCCGGGTTCGGTTCCCGCTAAGGGCACGTACCTCAGTTGCAGTTTGTCCCCGGCCCCGGTTGGGGTTGTGTGGGTGGCGACCACTCGATGTGTCTCTCTCTCTCTTGCTCTATGAATGCAAAAAGTGTCCTCAGGTGAGGATTAAAATATATATATATATAGCATTTGCTACTGCTGCAAAAGAGCTAGAAAAAAATATTACTTTAAATAATAAAAGGTTACTTCATAATAAAAGGTTATAATAATAAAATAATAAAAGGTTGTCCTTCATAATAGCAATAAAAATGATAGAGTATCAAGGTATTAAGTAAACCAAGAATACAGAAGTCCTTCATGTAGAAAATTATAGAACTCTAATAAAGGACATAGAAGATTATCTGAATTAAAGGAGAGACATTCTAGGCTTTTAATTTTAACAATCTGCAATTATAAAGATATCAGTATTCCCCAAATTAAGTTATATATAAGTTTAATTTAAAGTATTCCCAATCTAAATTTCAGTTAGAATGTTTCAAGAACTTGTTAAAATCCCTAAAACTATATGGCAAAAGAAAGGTCCACTAATAGCTAAGTCAACCTTAAAAAGAAGGAACCGACTGTACCAAACACTAAAACACACTACAAATCTATGGCAATAAATACAGGAACAAACAAACCAATGAAACAGAATAGAGGATTAAAAGATAGACTCGTGAACATGGTAAAGGGAGTTCCACAAATCAATGGGGAAAAGACTTTTTAGCAAATAGTGATGAGAACACTGGCTAACTATAAAGGCAAAAATAAAATTGGATCATTTCTTAATACTATGTATCTCAGAGGCGGACTCCAAGTGTACTAAAAATTAAAATGTGAAAGGTAAGATTGGAACATTGGAAAAATGTAGGAGAAAACCTTTGTAACCTAGGACACAGAAGAACTTAAAAAAAAAAACACCTTCAGCCCAGCCAGTATGGCTCTGTGGTTGAGCATCGACCCATGCAACAAGAGGTTGTGGGTTCAATTCCCAGTCAGGGCACATGCCCAGGTTGTGGGCCCAGCCCCCAGTGGAGGGCATGCAGGGGGCAGCCAATCGATGTTCTCTCCCATCAATGTCTCTCTCTCTCCCCTCTGCCTTTCTCTCTATCTAAAATCAATTAAAAAACAAAAAAACTTAAAAAATACAAACCATATGGCAAAAAAAAATCCAGTAGGAGACCCTGCCACATTCAGCTGCAACCTCATGACACTGAGAAGATCAGAGGATTAAAGAGAAGTCCCTAGGAAGCTGTAACCACAGCTTGACTTTGTGAAATTTGCTGCTCAACTTCACATCATCAACATGGTCCCCAAAACCCCACAAGCCATGATTTTAAAGTGGTCCTGGATTGATGGTGCCATAGTCAAAGGCAAATGAAATAGTCTCTAAGGAAGATCTTTATCCTGGGCTTCAAAAAATCTCCCATAAATATTGCATTTTATTAAATAGATTATTGCTGCAGAAGCAAACCTACAGAAATGCCAGGTATTGGAATCATCAAATCTAGTTTCGAAAACAACAATGTATATTGCACTTAAAGAAATAAAAGACAAGCTTAAATATATTTTTAAGGAACAGAAAACCATAAAAAGTGATCTAGCAGATTTGAAAGACAATCAAATGTTACTTCTAGAAATTAAGAATGCAGTACTGAAATTAAAACCTCAGTGGATGGGTTTAGTATCATTAATAAAATACTTCTGAACAGAGAACTGGATAAGTATGTATAATGAAATTCCTGAAGTAACCATGGAAGAATAGGAACAAAGCACAACTTTTAAGCTAGTAGAAGGGGAAATATGGAGAGATAAAAATTCAATCCAGGATTTGTTCATAATAATTTTTTGAATCTCCCAAATGAAAACAACCAAAAAAGCTAGTCAACAAATATCTATCTATTTATTTATTTATTTATTTATTTATTTTTTATCCTCACCCGAGGACATTTTTCCATTTTTTGTTCAGGTAGAGTGGGAGGGAGAGAGAAAAACAGAGAGAGAGGAGAGAAACATCTATGTGAAGGGACACATCGAGTGGCTGCCACCCACACGACCAACCAGGGCCAGGGACAAACTGCAACTGAGGTACGTGCCCTTAGCGGGAACCGAACCCGGGTCTCTCCAGACCGCAGGCCGACGCTCTAACCGCTGAGCCAAACCGGCCAGGGCTAGTCAACAAATATTTAAACATCTGCCCTGGCTGGTTTGGCTCAGCGGTTAGAGCGTCGGCCTGCAGACCACAGAGTTCTGGGTTCGGTTCCCACTAAGGGCACATACTTCATTTGCAGTTTGTCC